CTTCATTTGAAAGTGGGAGTTGATATGATTAAAGGAATTTATGAAGGGAAGATAATGGTAGCTAGGCAGTCGTTGAAGAACCACAACCACAAAGAAAATTTAGCAACTTCTCACTTAATTTTTCAACATTATACGCTGTCCATGTGTAGGTGGGACTAGTGTTCTTAGCTTTTGGGCATTTTTATTACAACTACTGCTTGCCATTCAATGCTTTCTTTTGACTTCCGTATTTAATTTGTCCTAAATCTCTAGCTGCTTTTCTTGCAGGCTATGGAAATTGCGAGTTCCCAACAGGATATGGAAATTGAGAAACACATTTCATTGGGTAGCTCCAAAAATTTGTTAAAATTTTTTCTTTGAATCTCTTTTGTGTTTACTCCTCATATATATAGTACATGTTGATTGTGGAGTAGGTATGATTGATATCATTTGGTTTGACATTTCCCTTTCCATAATTTATATCTATCTTTTCTTCTTTAACTAGGAGGTTATATTTGTGTTTCATATTTATATTTGTAAGTTTGTTATTATTATTATAGAGAAATGAGGGGTAAGAGAGGGACCTTTAGTGTCTTTCTTTGTCTCCTTCCTTTTATTGTTTTGTGAGAGAGGTATCATCCCATATATAGTTTAATTGGACATGAAGTGGCCTGGTGATGGTAAACCAATTAGGAGAAGCTAAACAATAAGGCCAAAATAAACATATTAAATGCTAAGAAAATTGTGGATGTGAGAGTGCAAGCGAGACATCATCTTCTCTAGAAGAAGTAGGTTACCAAATTCGCAAACAATTGCGGCTTTACCCTCACAATTCTTTTCGATATTGAGATTGAGGTGATCTCTTTGATTCATGCGTCAAATTTCTGTCTTTATCTGCAATACTTAATTAATAATAACTTGACCTAGTTCTTTAAATATTAATTAAATGACGAAATCTGTTGATAGCGGTTCACAATGTGATTTACAAGTGAAGTTAAACTAACTAATACCAAAGGTTGGTGGAGTGTATTTTTCCTTCTTTAAAAATTCAAATTAAAAAAAAGGCTGATGAGATTCTAAGTACACATAACATTTCTTAAGATTCACATATTAATGTTATTCATATCATTAGAAGGTGATGACATTTCTTTTTAGTCCTAAAAAAAAGTGTTTTGCAGTATGGTAGTGGCCGATCCTATGAATGTGAGCACGTTATTTAATAATTAATATTTTATAATATAATATGATTGTAACTAGTAAAACACCACGCTTTTATTAGTCGGACACTGCTTTGCCACTTCATTAGTTTCTCTATTGGGCCTAATGGTTTGCTAAGAGAGCCCAATAAGCAGACTTTGTGGCATACGGGTTCGATTCTTTCGAATCAGTGAAAATTGGGCGGAAAAATCCATCACCTACAGAACATGTGATAATTAGGAGGTTCCAAGAGTTGGGCCTAAAATAAGGTCCACTTGACCCAATAGCGCCGACCTATCTTTGATTTCTAATTCTATCCCAAACCCAAAACACAAATTAACTGGCTAATTGTTGACAATCAGAATTGGACTTCAATGCTAGTTGCTAGATGTCAAACCCAATGGGCCTGATCCCACTTTCTTAATTCGCTCGAATTAGGCTCCAATCTGTTGCCGCACCAATTCCAGTTTTTCCAAAAATCCGAATCACATTTCACGCCTCGTCGTTTCTGCAATCTTGCGTTGAGAATAATGAAAAAAAAAAAAAAAAAAAAAAAGGGAAAAAATTATATTTTTTAATTTTTTTTCACCATTTCTTCTTCCTTTGGATAACTAAATAAATTAAAAAATAAAATAAAATATTCTCCTATCTTTATCTCTAATTTTTTAATAATCAAATAATTTTTTTTTCATATCTATTTTCCTTAACCTTATTAAATTGTTAACAATTTAGACCCTAATTATTATTCGTTAGTCTCAAACTGTAAAATAAAACTTTTTACAAAATACATTATTTATAGTGATTTCAAAATTTATAAATTTATCAAATATTTATATTTAATGATTTTATCTAAACTACTAACCGTTATTTTAAAACTGTTATATTAATTGGATCTTAATTAAATTTCACCCAATCCTATAACTACTCCAACGCTTCAAAGGAGCCGTAAGGTGATCTAACCAAAGATTTTTGTCTAACATATACCTTATAAATAAAATTTAAGAGTATAATAAATATAAATTTTTATAGTTAATTTATATTAAAAATTATAAAAATTAACATATTTTATAAAAATTAACATATTTTATAAAAATTAACATATTTTAATACTATTGACATATAAATAATATTAATTAATTAATTAAATTAATTAAAACTAATATTTATATTTTTAATAAAAATTAATTATAAAAAATATATATTTATTACATTTTTATTATATACTTTAATTTATGTTTCAAAAACACAAAATAAAAAAATCTTCAATCTAATATGATATCCCGCTTGCACCGATCGAAGTTAGTGGAAAAGTCTAGAAACGATCTATAGCCATGAGAGGAGGAAGTGGCTACGCTTACAACGGTAGGGGGTAAAATGGGAAAATGATAAAAGGTCAATTTCCTACTAACCCCAAGTGATGCTGTATAAATAAAATATAAGCCCGGCATATATACGAACATATATATGTATATATATATAGAGCTCATGCACTCTCCAGCCAACACATGCTTTTTAATTTATTGGGCCACTTAAGCTTAAATTTTCTACGAAATGATTGCCTTTCCAGAAACCAACGTAACGTGGCCAATGAAAATGGAAGTGTTGGTTAGAGAGTCCAAATAGCGAGTGTTCCTAGCATTGCTCATATATGTGGTCTTATCAATACACAAATATATAATTTCCCAAGAATTTCAATTACGCTTATATTCATTAACGTAGGAATTGGGTTAAAGCTTTCCCCAGCCCCTTCTCATCGGTGGACTATTGACGTATGCAAAGGAGTGCGGTTCATTCGAGTAAATTCTTACCATTTTATTTATTTCTGAGATGTTTTGACTTTTCAAAACCCCATAAATAACATGCAAAAAGATAAATGCTACCCCTCTCACCGACATAATAAGTACTCCCTCTTTTCCACAATATTTGACGTTTTAGGCTTGTACACATAGATTAAGAAAAGTAATTTATTATTCTTGATTTCAGGGATTTATAAGTTAAAAGTATTATTTTACCCTTTTCAAATTTTCCAACATTATCACTCCTCATCTTCTTCCCTACTTCGCTAGATTCTCCCAAATCCTCCTCTCCAATCCATGACAGCAATGGCTTCACTCCTCTCAAATGCCACCATCTTCTTATTCTCATCCCTTCCTTCCTTCGCCATTCCCACATTTATTTCCTCTCAGATCCCCTTGAAAGGTCCCTTCATAAGTGTGTTGCCACTGTCAATCAAACATAAAAGAGATCTCCATGCTCGACCTCAGATCCACCATGGTCGAAGGCAAGATCGTTTTCCTTGGGATCGAATCCAAAGGCAATAAGCCCTGTTCTAAGTGCCACCATTCGCATTCTTAGTGAGAGACACAAGAAAATTAAGGTTGGGTTGTAGATGAAAGAGGAAAAATGAATTTCGATTATAGAATAGAAGAGATAAGACGAAAGAAGATGAAAGAGGCAAAATAGATTTGAGTCATGGAAGAGATAAAAGTGAAATGGAGAAAAAATGAATTTCAAACAAAAAAAAGAAGAAATGAGAAAAAACGAGGCAGATGAATAGGCGTAATACAGACATTTTAAGAGAGAGGAGGGTAATTTTGGAAGAAATATAATTAATGCAACATTGATATGTTAAAACGTCAATTATTTAGAAACAAAAATTTTCTCCTAAAACGACTAATATTATGGAACAAA